TATCCCATACACAACCATACGTGTAAGAGCCCAAGCTCAACGCTAGTAGATATTATCTGCTTTGGCCCGTTACTTAAAACGTGTCTACTAGGGAGAGGTTTCCACACTCTTATAAGGAATGCTTTGTTCTCCTCTCCAACCGATGTGGAATCTCACAGTAGAATTCAATGAAATATTAATTAAATACCTGGAAATTATCAAATGCACGTTGAGGGATGTTATCATCAAATTGCCGCATAGCATCCCACGGTCCATCCCCTACCCCGACTAGAACGATCGATAGAGGATAATGGCTGGTGATTCAAGTATTATGAGACTTCGAGCGCAAAAGCAACCAAACTGAATAACAATTATTGTTTTACCTAGCAGCAACAATGGAGTTTATGGTTGCCTGCTCTTGAAAACTTAATCTACCTGGTGGTGTGTCGGGATTTCTCGTAACCTGTTCAATGTTATACAGTTTTAGGACTTAAAGAGAATAAAGAATACACGAGACGTTGAGAAGTAAGAAATAATATAAACCGAGCACATCCAACAACCTGTCCATCTGCAACAATAACAAGGACATGATACTGCCAATTGGTTTTCTCAACAATGCCTATTGCAGCATCAATAACAGGGGCAAAAGAGGTTGGACCTACATAAATAAGCTTAAGCACTTTAACTTAGGAAGAAGAAAATTACATTATCCAGCCAAAGCATTTACAAAATAATCCATAGATGACAATCGGTTGGAGAGGAGAACGCATCGCACTAAATGTTAAATGATTCTTCTTCTTTGGTGAGTTGCAAATTAGGTATCAATGGAGTACTACATGGTTTATGTGAGATCCCACGTTGGTTGGGGAGGAGAATGAAGCATTCTTTATAAGGGTGTGGAAACCTCTCCCTAGCGGTGGGTTTGGGCCATTACAAATGGTATCAAAGCTAGACAATGGGTGATGTGTCAGCGAGGAGGCTGAGCCTTGAAAGGGACACACGAGGCGGTGTGCTAGCAAGGATGCTGAGCCCTGAAGAGGGGTGGATTGTGAGATCCCACATCAGTTGGGGAGGTGAATGAAGCATTCTTCATGGTATCCTTAGCGGACGCGTTTTAAAAATGTTGAGGGAAAGCCCAAAGAGGACAATATTTGCTAGCGGTGGATTTGGGCTGTTACAGTTTACCTCCTATTCATCAGGTTTAACCTTGATTAAAAATACCCATTTACACCCCGGCCTTTTTTTCCTATACGACAAGATACTAAAGTACCGTTATCATCGAAAGCATTTATCTGGTTGATCATTACATTATGCCTGCCATAATGAAATAAATCTTCATGAACCAAGTTAGGGCAGAAGGTTTAAAAGCAAATTTTCTCTGCATTGTAATCTATATCATGAATAATATTGACAAATAGCTAAACATATTTGTAAAGTTAACAGAAAGTTCAAACGAACCCGATAATTTCAGGAATGGCAGAATTTCTCTATATCGAGAAAGCGCTTCCTTGAAACCTCTACATGGCCTGTGATCGGGGTAAAAGCTGAATACATGCTGATCACGCGTTGATTCTAAAGAAAGAAGTTGAAAATAAGGTAATTAGGCAAGAGAAAAGTTGGTTACTAACACTAACAAAGGATCTAGAAATGATCAAAACCAATACCAACCATCACCAAAACCGAGACAAGGTATCAAGCCATCATCATCAAAAGGAGACAATGTTTGACCAATTATAGAAATCGCTTGCTCGTACGGATTGGGTATGCTGCTAATGGAATGCAGACTTCTTCTTCTGAAAGAATGCCTGCCTGCAGTCAGTGAAATGTAACTTCTAGCAATTTATGGAAATGTTCACAAGCTTCATAACAATTGTTAAATAAAGAAAGATTCACCTGTCCACTCATTGCTCTTTGTAAAGTCGATACCGAGAATTAAATTTGATGACTCAAGACCTTCGTGTCTCAATGCAGATATAACCTGAACAAAGTGTCGTGTATTTCCAGTATGCAAGTACTCGTGTCAATGTCTGCTCGAGGGGTATGGCGAAATTGATAACAAATATCTATCTATCTATCTATCAAACTAGAAGAGAGAAATTCTACTATATATATATATAGATGCTTCATGTAACTGCCCAAGCCCCACCGCTAGTAGATATTGTCCGCTTTAGCCTATTATGTATCACCATCAGCCTCATAGTTTTAAAACACGTCTACTAGAGAGTGGTTTCTACATCCTTGTAAGGAATGTTTCATTCCTCTCTCCAATCGATGTGGGATCTCACAATCCACCCCCTTGGGAGCAAGCAACCTCGCTAACACATCACCTAGTGTCTGGCTCTGATACAATTTGTAACAGCCCAAACCCACCGCTAGCAAATATTGTTCTCTTTGGGCTTTTCCTTCCGGACTTCCCCTCAAGGTTTCAAAACGCGTCCACTAAAGAGAGGTTTCCACACCCTTCTAAGGAATGCTTTGTTCCACTCTCCAACTGACGTGAAATCTCACAAAAACCAAAAAAAGTAGCGGCTTAGATAGAATATAGATTTAGTTCAGCGTGCTTTCATACATGAATTAAGCAGCCAAGATAAAAGAGTGAACCTGATCCAATGAGCTGAAAGTATCAGCAATATGTCGAAAATCTATGTTCCGATGATGATCTGAATCCATCTAACTCTCTGCATACAAGAAGGTTCAAGCAGGCTCTCATCAACATAACTATAATACAGTAATTCCATATTCCCCAATCTCAAATGAGCTCTTCAAGAACGCCAAATATACATTTAAAGAATCAATCACTTCTTGAAAGGAAACACAACAATCAATTAGGATGCCCTTTTCGCTGAACTTGAGTCAATGAAATCAATATGGCAAAATCCACATGCATAGCACCCCAAAAGAACTTGATATCAAGTCACCGATCAATTCCTTCGAACTTGCTAAATCAAGCATTGGAAATCTATGATCATCGCATTAAAAAAACACCCCCAAAACGATTCATAAATGCTAGAAGCAAGAAGGATAGCATGACTGAAGCAAAGAACAGCAACTTAAAGCTGCGAACAAGCTAAATTGAGCAGACCTAGAAAGAAAATCAAGCCATAGAAGGCAAAGTTCAGTGAAAAAAAAGAAGAAGAACGCATTTAATAGGAAGCAGTAACTCACAGAGAAAGCTTTGGATGGGCTGCAATGGAGGGAGATGCAAACGGAGAAGAAGGTCAAAGGGGAATTAAGAATAGTTTTGAATATGCGATTTGTAAATGATAAAAAGAGATTCCTTCCGTTGATTGTCATCTCAGACTTTGAAGCAAAAGGGTTCGTTGTTAATGCGTGCACCCATCACCCATGTTCAAATAGATCCGTTCCAGACTACTACTGCTCACCATTTCTCAAATATTATATTAATAATCATTTTTAATACTATTTATTATTTGTAATATACAATAATACAAAAATATATATTGGTTTTTTTTAGAATTATAATGTGGGAAAAAGTCATATATTTACTCGGATGCTCGTAACATATATTTAAGTATCTTATTGGACTCTCGGGTTATTCTAATTACAATATGCTCCTTCTAAATCCATTCTCTTGGAATTCAAAGAGAAGTTTCGGGTGCCGAAGGGTTGGTCATTAAGCAACATTTGGTCTTCTCTCTTACCCTTTAAATGTGTTTCGTTTCAAGGGTTGTATGAATAATCTCAATTGACTCTCAAGAGATTCGTTAAAGTCTTGGTTGACCCTAGGATTTTGGTCAAGAAAACTAAGATAACTCCTTGAGCAGCTAAGTCGGCTTAGGTCGACTCCTTAAGGGATCGACCAATTTAGCCCTCAATAGATTGGTCAAACCGGCCTAGGGTCTACCTTCTAGACCTTTTAACCTACTGCAAAAGGAATGGTTTAAATGGATTTGATTCGAATAATTGAGTTGAAGATATCGGTCAAATGGGACCAATCCAATTTGTTAGATCGACCTTTTTTAAATAGAGTATTACAATTGGATAGAAACAAACATTTATAAATGTTGATGGGCGATTATATATTTATGTGGTGACAACCATGTAATTGTTGGAAAATCCACATGTTCACAATAATAGATTAATGTGTTTAATCTACTTATAAACTCGACAAAACTAGCTTTTTGTACCCTAGTTTCAAATCTATTCAATATTTTATTTCACGGTAATAAAAGTTAAATTGTAACTATCTAAACTCACTACTAACAATATTATCCGTTTTGACTTTGTTACGTATCGTTGTCAGTCTTATAGTTTTAAAACACATCTACTAGGGGAGGTTTTCATATCCTTAGAGAGAATGTCTGAGATCCCACTTCAACTAAAGAGGGGAACAAAACACTCTTCGATAGAAATTTTTTTTTCGACGCGCTTTAAAATTATGAGGTTGATAACAATATGTAACGACTTATAACGAACAATATTTGTTAACAGTGAACTTGAACTGTTACGGAAGATCTCACATCAAATTCGATAATAATTAAACAAAATATTGTCTTCAAAATTGCTGGAGAGGTTCATTATTTTATTTAGTAATTTTTTTTATAAAAAATAAATGTTGTAGCAATTGCAAGCAAAGAGATTGCTAATTGGCTTAAGAATTAAGGTGGTCGGCGAAAGCGAAAGCATTCTTAATATTATAATTTAATGCGTCCATGCACAATCCACTCCAACTCACGTGGATCACGTTAGTTCATGAACCAACATTTTTAATAAAAATTAACATATTTAGAGGTAAATTTTATTTATTTTTCATTAAAAAAAATGTAATTTAAAAATGACTAAATAAACTAATTTTTAAATAGACATTTACCAAACATTTCCCTATTCAATTACTTGAGATCTCATACTATATATATATATATATATATATATAGGAAAAACAAATGGTGAAAGAATAATTTAATCATTAAAAAAAAAGAACTAGAAACAAAATAAAAGAGAAAATTGACAACATCCTAGATTCAGACGAAGTACCTAAAACAATAATGAAAAAAAGCATATACAAGAATATATGATTTTTCATTAATAGCTATCAGTATCATAGTACAGGGAAAACTGAGGAGCAGCCTTTGGATTAAGGAATATAGGGAGGAGCAGAAGAAAAAATGAATTACACCCAAAGGCCCTAGAAGAGATATGAGAGATGATACACTGTCTAATTAGAGGACGTAACATTGCCATAAAATTGAAACTTTGAATTACTAAAACAAGAAAGGGATTGACCTAACCTTTCCTCTCCTTGCCAACAAGTGGGATCACGATGACTATGATGACAATGATGACGATGACGGGCTCTAAGAAATTGCATATTGGAGTGTTTCAGATTCATTTGGTCGCCACATTGACTTCTGAACGCAGAGCAATGCTTCATTGTCTTTGAAATAAGTAAACCGAACCTCCCATTTCATTGACTTGAACATGTTTTCGAGCTCATTTACGGTTTCTGCAAGGTCCCGGACGATGAGCTTACCTCCTGGCCTGAGGATCCGGTCGGTCTCTGCAACTAAAGCAGCTAGATTGCACCTGTATGTCAACCGAGTAATGCATTAGCAAAAGGCATTGATTGGAGTGAAGGAGAAGAGGGATACAAGATGGTGTTTAAGGTTAAGGTCACCTCGTTTTGATCTTGGAGAAAAGATGGTCTGCGTGAAGAAGGTCATATGTTCTCGGGTAGGTGCTGAATGATTCACACCAATCGTGATATATACCGAATAAACCTCGTTCGTAGATAATCGGGAGAGTATCGGCTGAGTCTATTGAGACGACATTCATGACCCACACTTTCAAATCTTTCAATGCAGCAGCAAATCTGCGAGGAAATGAAGAACATTTATATTTTTACTCAGAAAAATAAAGGATTTACTTTGAGGGGTGGAGAAATTATTGACAATGGACAGCAATATGATAGCTATCTCGAAGTACATTTCCTTTGAGGGGTGGAGAATCTTACCCTCCATAGATAGCTCTCATGTCCATGACATTTCGCACCGTTGACCAGTCGATTCCCATGCCAGCTAGATATGACTTTGTAACGACACTATTCCAGTGTTTGTGATCTGCAGCAAAATCCTCTGGAGCAGGTCTTCCATAAACTCCAACCTGAGAATTCAACAACCAGTATGGTGCTTTCTCCAACCTTGATGGCCATTGCTCTGGCCATTTAGAACCACGTTCTGACGCATTTGTCGAGATTTTGTGCATGCATGCTTGAAGTGGAACATTCCTGCAAATGGTTTGAACAAACTCAGTTGTACTAGCTGTAATGCAATAAATCTTCTGAAATAATTCACGAGTACGGGCATTTGGAGAAGGAAAATCTGTCATGGTCTTATATTCTAAATGTGTCTAGTCTAAGCTTTGTGATTTCTAATTTAGAAATAATAATAGAACGAACAAGAAAGCACATGTGAAGGGGAATGATTCTGGACTAGACGCTCAATATTTTAATGGATCCTTTCCCAGTAATTGGGTGAGATGCCACATCGGTTGGAGAGGAGAATGAAGCATTCCTGCCACATCGGTTGGAGAGGAGAATGAAGCATTCTTTATAAGGGTGTGGAAACCTCTCCCTAGGAGACACGTTTTAAAAACCTTTAGGGAAAGCCTAAAGAGGACAATATCTGCTAGCGGTGGGCTTGGGCTGTTACAAATGGTATCAGAGTCAGACACCGGACGATGTGCCAACAAGGACACTAAGCCCCGAAGGGGGTGGATTTGAGGGTCCCACATCGATTGGAGAACGAAACGAGTGCCAGTGAGGACGCTCGGCCCCAAAAGGGGTGGATTGTGAGATCCCATATCGGTTGGATAGAAGAATGAAGCATTCTTTACAAGAGTATGGAAATCTCTCCCTAGTAGACAAGGGGTGGGCTTGAGTTGTTACAAATTGGATCTTTGATAGAATGTGAGTACACATTTGCTAACTTGGGAAATTAAAATCAGAACAGATAAGTACCAGGCTGCATTTGGATCATCTGAATTCGGGCAGACAGGTGGCTCTTTTTCGGACCTCTGTTCGTAACAATCATTATTGGTAGGTTTTCGATATATGGCTGCACTAACTTCATCTACTGTATCCTTGTTAATTGACACAAGTTCCCAGCACATTGCTTTCGTCAGTTCTTTCATGGCTGTAAATAGTTCCACAAGATGCAAATTTGTTAGAACATCTAAACTTTGAAGCACTCTAGTTTTACATTTACATTTACAACTAAAACTTCTAAAGGATCGTAAGTTGTTGGGTTTAGAAATTGCCAACCATTCCATATTTCAACATCTTCAGCCTTCTTCTGATAGACCGGTGTGGCAGACCAGACGAAGAAGCCACCAGGCCGCAACAAACGATTCAGCTCCAACAGAAGTTTGCCACCTGCACAGTTTCTTCGAAAGTGAACATTGATACTCAAGCTATTGACAAAATGGCTAAGTTCAGTCACTGGTATAATGGACTTTTAGTGTATTCACTACATGATATATGCAAATGAATCGTAGTTCCAAATCATAGAAATTTAATCAATATCTCAAAATTTGAGAGAAAATATTAATTGAAACAGATTAGTAATCACATTACCTTCTGCGTGCCATGGGACTCTACAACGAGCACAATGGACAACATCAAACACTCTTCCTGGATAGGGAAGTCTTTTCGTCCCCATAACAGCAGATATAGCAGGAATGCCCCTCTCAAGTGCAAACTGGACTTGTGCTTCATGTTCATCTTTTGGGGCCAATGACATGGTTAGTACATCTCTTTCAAAAAGAAATCCTCCAAAGCTTGCCACTCCACATCCAACATCCAGAATCACGCGTGATCGTTTTCCCCAAGCAATATCATTGACAGCCTGCATCATTCAAATTATACCACTTGTAAAATTTTTGCATTTGCTGAGGTTTTTAAAGCATAAACCACAAAGCAGTGTTCTTCAGTTCCATAGGTATAATACTACAGTAATTTCATAAATCTAAAAAAGAAAGACAACTTTACTCAAAAGTGCATTCAATTTAAACAAAAAGACTTATCAAAGAAGTAGCATGAAAATAACAATCAGAACGATCATATAAAAAGACATGGCGTCATCACTACAATCCAAGATCTGAAAAGTATACAGATACATTAAGTACATAAAATACAACCACCAATACAACCACCAACAATGAAAATGCAAATATGCAAACCAAACGAGCATGTAACATACCATACTAACAGGAGATTAAGGAGAAGAATGTTACCTCTTGTATGAAGTCAATGTAGTGAAGAGCACCGTGCTTGAACTGGGTCCCACCACCAGGAAATGTTAAGTATTCACCAGAAACTTTTACCCAATTCTGATGCCCCTTAACTTCAGCAAGTTTTGTGTGGGGAACATTATAGTACCATATCTGTAGAAACACACCCAATTATCCCATCAATGAATGAAAGAAAAAAACAACAATTAAAAAACTGAACAAACATAAAATGTATTTTCTGAAGTAAAAATGTTAAATTGCTTTAACCTTTTCCCTGCTAGTTGGCCATGTAATTGGGCGTTTATAGCCCTCTGGAAGTGATACAAGGCAGGTTGGAGGTTCTTCAGGACAATGCCTCTCTCGATGTTCATAATGTTTTGTACTATGAAGACTCCTAATTGCTTGCAAATTGTCGAGGCAAGGAATGTAATCTGGTCCAGCAGTAACATTGCAAATTTTCCACTCATACCCAGATTGTTTCGCAGAAGATCTTTGAGTTTCTTTTTCATTCTTTGATTCTGCTGCCTGAGTTGACCATGATCCCTTCTGTGTTGATGTTTCATTCAAAAGCTCCGACTGAGCACCAGATGGAAACACCTCACCAGAAGCCGGGTTTTTGGATTGGTTATTTTCATTTGTTTCATCAGAGCTTTTTCCATTTAGCTTCACATTCTCCCCTTCCTGACCATTAACATTTTCTCCGTCTTTAGTGTCACTTGGGTCATCTGTTTTTTTCTCATCATCATTTTTCTCTTCTGTATCATTTGAATTTGATTGCTTCTCATTAGAATTCTCCTCAGAATCTCCCTGTCCATCGGATTCATTGTCACCAGCCTCTGGCCTAGTTTCAGAATCTGGTTCTCCATTTTCCTCCTTAGAATCACCATTTTCTGTTTCTCTTTCATCGTCTGGTTTAGTTTCTTCATTCCCTCCATTCTTGTCCTCATTCTGTTCATCTGGCTTCTCTTCAGGCTTGTCTTCGGGCTTGTCTTCAGGATTCTCTTCAGGCTTGTCTTCGGGATTCTCTTCAGGCTTGTCTTCGGGCTTCTCTTCCTGATTAGAACCTTGACTGTCACCCTCTTTCCTTGCATCATCAGGCAAATCTCCTGGGTTATCTTCAAAGGGCTGAGTCTTGCCATCATTGGTCTCAATCACTTTGTCTTTTGCCAGATTTTTGTTCTCCACTGGCACATCAATATTTTGAACCGGAACTACAGAAGATGATGTTAGCATCCATATCCCAACCAAGCACAATGCAACAAATACTACAATGGTCACTGTTGAGCAGTAACTCGAAGAGGACCTTCGGTTATCTATTCTCGAATACTTCCCTAATGCCATTTCTATTCGTAAACTTATGTCCTATAGATTTTGCACCTGAGAATGGAAAGAGTATAGACAGAATAGTCAATAAAATAAAAATAAAAGAAGTATTAATTAGCTGATCACAAAGATCACCGACAACCTGCATTCATACTAACAAAGGATATCATGAAAAGTGATAATTGGTCCCAAAAAGCCGTTCAAACATTGACGTCAAACCAACAGTTAAAAGTTCCAGAAAAGTAGAAATTCAACTTGAGAGAAATTTAACACAAATCTGACTAGAGCACAAAGGAAAATATCCAACAGAGAAAATTCAGCCATAATTCACGGCACACTTACTGCAATCAAACACTAGCGTAAATTGATACATAAACAAGGAAGATCAGCTAAATCAACTTCGAAAGACATTAAAGCATATCAACCAATGATTTACTGTATCCACACCAAATAACGTCGATCCAGAACAAAGAAAACAAATACAAACATTAACCGCGTAACACATAACGTTAGAATGAAAAGATAACACAATTCATTCACGTACAAGGACACACAACAAGAATACAAACAAACTCCATGAGATCCACACACAAACATCACAAAAAAGAAGAAATCAAACACCAATGCGCGCCAAAAAAGCAACAAGAAACTCAAGTTTGCTAGAAACCAAATTAGATCTACATTAAAAACGCGCAAAAACGAATAAACATCACGAAACCGGAAGTAGAAAGCAGAAAGCAGAAAGCAGAGCAATGAAGGGGAAAAAGCAAGAACAGGCTGAATGTAAAGAAAGAAAGCAAATTATAGAACAATAAACACGAGATCTGAGCGATCTAAACATCCGGAAGTAAGGATAAAGCCATTGCCTACCTTGTAAAGAACAGATCTAGCGAAGAAGGAAAGAGAGTTCGAAACACTATTCCTCCATTTTTCTCAAACGGAGAAGATGAAATGTAGTGGTGGAGCGAATGAAGGGGAAGAGGGAGATTTAATAGAGGGAATAAGAGAAGAGAGAGAGTAAGTTTGTAGGTGTTGAAATTAATTAAAATTAGTTGAATTAAATGTTTCGTAATTAAGTGATTAATTTGTTAATCACTTTCTTTTGTTTTTTACCGACAGTGTTCCGATACACCGACACTGACCTTCGGAAATAATAGACGAAAAGCACGCGGTGAGGACAGAGATAGAGAAATACACGCGCGAGTTTTGCGCGTGAGATAAATTCGGGCCCAATAAACATTATTTATTGGATTTTTCTCTCAAATTACGAATTTAAATCCTTTTGATTAAATAACAATTAAATTAATAAAAATATTTTAAAACTAATTAAGTTTCAATAAAACTTTAAACTTAAAAAAATAAAAAATAAAACAAAAGTAAGTATTTTATTTTGTTTTCAAATTTTTCTTTTTTAAAGTTTTAAAATTATCTTTAATTTATAAATAAATTAAATAATTAATATCTCCATTTAAAAAATACTCATAAAATTTTAAAATTAATATTAATATCTTTAAATTATTATTATTATTTTTTTTGTATACCTTAAAAATAAGGTGGGGAGATAAGTTTTGACATGTAAATAGATAGTTTTTGTTCCAAGATTAACGATAATAACTTTTATTTTTTTTTTCAAATTATTAATGTGAAATGTGTTAACCGTACTTTTTAAATATGGTACTAATGTTAAAGTATTTTTAATTTTTTAAATGGAAGGATATTAATAAAATTTATGAAATTTTAAAAATATTTTTGAAACACTTTTCAAAATTAAAAATGTTTTTTAAACAAGTAATAACGATTTTCTACCAAACTAACAATAAAATAATATTTTTAAAACTTTTTTTTTAATAATTTTGGGCATGAAATTTTGAAAATTTTAAAACAGTATTATTGAAATTTTTAAAGGGCGTGAAACTGAAACAAGTATACAATTTTCATTAAAAATAATGAAAAAGGTCGAAGGGTATTATTGAAAATTTTAAATTTTTTTAAAAAATTAAAAAAATTAAGAATATTTTAAAAAATTAATTTAGCCTATATATCAAATATTTTAAACATTATTGGTAAGTATATTTTGAAAAAAAAATAAAATAATAAATCGAAGTTTATTTTAAAGATTTTTTAAAATATTAATTATAGTATAGTTTTTCGGTTTGTCTTTTTCTTAATTTAATTTAATTTAATATTGTAAGGTGGCACTTAGATCTCGATCTCCGTCTTCTTGAGGACGTGACAGCGACTCCGGATCTACGCGGCTTAATTGATCCTCAATTAACTTATTTATTTATTTTTCCTTTATACTTATATATTATTATTATTATTATTATTTATTTTAATTCCTAAAATAGCATTTATTATTATTAAATTCAACTTTTTTTAATTGTTGCACATGGTGGTTTGTGAGTTCATGAGTAGTCCTCTCCCAAATATTCAATTATTATTTTTTAAAATTATTCTAAAAATTATTAAAAAATGCATTCAAAGTATTTATTAATTTGATAAAGAAATAAAAAAACATTAATTAAATAAAAAGTTTTAACAAAAATTAATCGATTTTGTGTTAAATATAAAGTATTAAAATAAGCCGTAAAAAAAAAAAAAAAGGTAATTATTAGTTACCTATAATAAGGTTGGTCAAATCATAACAAACTCATAATTATTGTTATTTTCATGTTTCTCAAATTGCAATTATAAATTTAATAGTTAGCTTAGAAAAAGTCAAAATTTATTATCTTTAAAATTTGAATTTCTTCTTTATATTATTACAAAATTTTAAAAATAATTTTTATTGTTTGATAAAATTATCATAAAGAGTCTCTACAGTTCTGACCATTTAAAATATTAGATTATTTTTAAAAAACTAAATTTATAATTTAAAATAAATAAATAAATAAGAAGGGGAGGAAAAAAGGAAAAAAAAGGAAAAAACTGTCTAAATTATATATTTATGGGTCACGAGTTTGTAAAGAAAGATATAATAGAAAACTTGTTACTTGAGAGAGGAAACTTGCGAGTTCAGCTTTCTGTTCATTTTTGGTCAAACTTTTTCTAGTGAAACCATCAACTTCGCGAGCAGATTGTAGATGATCCGCTAACAGTTCGTTGTTCAAGTTTCGGGAATTCGTGAAGGTATTTGTTTCTTCTTTTGCGTATTGATTTAGTAGAAATTTGGATGCATTTAAGTTAGTAATTACATGTTAATTTTCGATTCAACTCTCGTGATTTCGATGAAGGTTTTTCTTGTAGAACTTGTTCTATTGTATGATATAGTGGCTATGCGATTTTATTGTTGTTCTGTTTGGTCCTCTTTTAAGTTTTTTTCGATCCTTGTAATGGGAGTTTCTTTGTTCTATCGAGTTTTTAGCCTGTTAATATTATCTTCAAGTGTTTGGGTTTCGTTAACTGCTGGTGAATTATCCATCGAGTGGGGTAATTTTATCGACACACTACTGCTGTCTACTAGAATGAGAACGGATAGTCAACAATGTGATATTGGGCATTATAATGAGTAATTTGTAGATGATTTGCAGGAACTAGCCCACTTTAAGGATTTAATTAGCCTCCCAACATTCTCATTGTCCGTTTTGATTGAGGAGTTCAGTTCCTTGATTGTTTATTTTCATGTCCAGCAAGGTGTTTGTTCTATTCAACTATGCTAATCAGTAGAAGTTGTATAGTTAGCAAAAACCTTACTTCTTCTAGGTTTCTATACGATCTAAAAATGGTGCCCACGATTTTTTCCCATCCTTTGATCACTGTGATCTTCTATCTCACTATGCATAAAACAGGACACTTACAGGTTGGCATGTCCTTGTACTCCCACCTTATCAAAATTGCGCTTTCATTTGAACTCTCCCTTGAAAACCGTCTTATTGACGACGTGTATTCTAAATTAATTCTATGGAAAATACACAGCATTTGATGATTTACCAATTAGACCTATTCACTCTTAGAATACCATTTTTGCCTCCTACTCATGTGTTGGATTTTTGCTCAAGCTCGTAAGGTCTTTCATGAAATGCTTCATCCAAATATTGTTAGCTACAATATCTTGAATTCTAGCTTTACTCGCGACGGGTTGAGTGTAGAATCAATGAATATCTTTCGACAATTGCAACAAGATTTTGATCATTTAGTCTTAGACAAGTTTACTCTTGCGAGTATAGTGGGTACTTGTGCCTGTTTAGGAGCTCTGGAATCATTGTGTCAGGTTCAAGTTTAATGTGATTGTTTTCAATGCTGTAATTGATGCATATGGTAAATGTGGCGAACTGGATACGTCATATTCTATTTTCAGTCAAATGCAGGAGAGAAATGTTGTTACCTGGACCTCAATGGTTGTAGCCTATTCTCAGACATCGATGTTAGATGATTTTTTTCGAGTGTTAAGTTGTATGCCGGAAAAAAATGTCCTTACTTGGACTGCTTTGATTAATTCTTTTGTAAGCAACAAGTAAAGAAATGAGGCCCTGGATTTATTTGAACAAATGCTGGAGGAAAAAATTTCTCCTAATGATTTGACATTTGTAGGTTTTTAGGTGCTTGTGTAGATCTTGGTTTAATAGCAAAAGGCAAAACGATTCATGGACGAAATCAGAAGGAACAGTGGCCTTAATTTTTCAAAGGTATGTATATGCAACACTATAACTGATCTGTACGGTTAGAGTGGGGACATGAAATCAGCTAAGACGTTGTTTAACTTGATTCTTGAAAAAGATGTAGTGTCGTGGAATTCATTAATAACTGGGTATGCATAAATGGGATTGGAAGGGAAGTTCTTCTTGACTTTAGGAGAATGATAGATGTAGGGATAAGACCTAAAGTGCGTTTCTAGGTGTGCTGTCTGCCTGTTCCCATACTGGTTTGTCATCTAAAGGATTATATATTTCGGAGTTAGTGGAACAGTTTTGTGGTATTAAGCATAGTTATACCATTATGCAGTCTTGATTGATATGTTTGGAAGAAAAAATAGACTTGCCCAAGTATTGGATTTAATGTCCAGGGCACCTAATGGATCAAAACACGTCATGGGGTGCAGTTCTGGGGTCTTGTTGAATGCACGAAAATTTGGACCTGGCTATGAGAGCTGCAAAAACTTTGATTGAGATGGAGCCAGATAACGCTGGAAGATAAATAATGTTATCTAATGTATTTGCAGCAAATAGATGGATGAATGCCCATAGCGTGAGAAAACTCATTGTGGAAAGAGGTTTCAAGAAGGGAGTAGCATATGACTGCATAGAAATTAGAAATACAAGACATAAGTTTGTGGCAAGAGATACTTCGCGTAGGCATATGGGTGAGATATATGAGCTGACGTTTATACTTGTAGATCATGTGAATTTTTTTTTGGTTACATGCCTTTTGACAGTGGTATTTACTTTTGTGATGGATATAGTACTTGAACTGTGATCTAAAGTGACGTTTCTAAAATTTTTCTGTCCTTGGGTAAAAATGCTATTGAATTTGACTATTTTAATTAACCTTTATTGTTTGCATATGTTCATACTTGACAAATAGTTTTTTATTAGACATGATACTGTATTTGACTCAGAGATATCTTCTATGAAATATGACTGGGATTTTCATTTTGTTGCTCTTCATACCATATTGATGACTGATCATTACTTCAATTTCTGTAACCCTATAGGAGGATTGTATTTGCTTAAGAGATATCTCCCATGAAACGTGACTCTTTAGGTGGCCTTGGTTATGCTGCTTTTCTTTATGTATTGACGACGTTGTTCATAACTTCCTTTTTTTTAATCATCCTCCAGAAAGATTGCTGTTACTGGAGCTAAAAGAAATGATGAAATTCTGTTGTTCTTAATCTAGACAAAAAATTTGCAGGTGTAAAGTTTGTTCGATCTCTGTCTTATGAGTATGCAGAGATGAAATTCAGAAATAATTTCCCTGTAAGAGGGAAATATCTTTCTTTTGTCGTGGTTGCTCTTGCATTCACTGTCTTGGTGTTGTGGGCGTGGCAGGAAAATCCTTTTCTTTCCACTTCTCAATCTGTTCAAGCATGGTATAGAACTTCTTATGCAGGTATGCTTGTCAATCCATGTTTATAAATGTAGGTCTCATTTTGAAAACATGCAGGGTGGGTCTAATCTTTAATACGACAAGTTCTTGGAAAATTTTGCTAGGTAAAAAAAGTAACCTAATTATCATTTGGCCTTCATACACAATTTTGGATTTCACCGGTACTCTAAAATTTTCAATTTACTCTCCAAAGCATTGAAGATTTCAATCTAGTTACTATATAACGTAGTTGGAATTGAATAGAGAAATTATAACATAACATTTATGCTGTATTAATATACCAAATATCCTTAAAACTTTTAAAAATTTCAATAATATTCTTAAACTTTTAAAAAAGTTTTAGAGGCACCTTTACTACTAGTTGTTTTAGATGGAAGTTATTAGTACTTTATTTCAAAAATACCAAAAAATGTTTCAAAAATACGTTTGAACTTAAAAAAGTTTCATTAATATCCTTCAACTCTTTCAAAAAGTTAAAAAATACCCTCACTATTAATTCCATATTTAAAAAATACCCATGAGCTTTTAGAAATGGATGGAAACGTCATTTTAAGGGTACCCATGAACTTCTAATGGTAAGGTATTTTTGAACTTTTCTTTTTGAAAGCTTAAGGATATTATTGAAACTTTTGGAAGTTAAATAATATTTTTTTTAGACAAAATATAAAGTTTGGTGGTACTTAACGTTTATAAATTATACTTTATATATATGGATAGTTTTTTAATGATAACTTTTATTTCACTCCATCCAAATTAGAAAATCCTATTGGCCTTACCTAAATAAAAACTTGATATTATCCAATTAAAAGAAAAACCCATTCCTTTATAGTTTCTGCAACTTCAGTGAGCATGCTCCTTTTTCTTGCAACTCACTCCATTTAACCGTTGGTGCAACCTTTTCTGTTGATACATGCTTCCATCCCTCTTGTCGAAACCCTGTACTCAGCCTTAATGTTCTCAAAATTGAAAACTTACCAAATGAACGTGCTATCCTCCTTTCTTTTCTTTTAGTAATTAAGCCCATGGATTTTCCTTTCTCAAGTAGTTGGTTGGATTTTTAAAGTAAAAGGGTCGGGTAATTATTTACGATTAAACAAATGTCAATTCACAGAAAACAATATTTTGACAATTCTGCATCACCGTTACAATATCAATTTCAACCACATTTGTTGCGTAGGGATGCAATTGAAAACTTTTGATACTTTGAGAGCAAAATTGATAATGTTAAAATTGGTAATGCAAGAGATGGTTCATAAATGTAATGAATTTAGTAGAATGCCTAAACACATTCAAATCCAGAATTAGCGTCTTTCCTTTCTTGCTATTTGTGTACCATACTGATGATTTTATTTGTTTAGGATTCATTGTAGGTCCGACGAACAGTTCTGAATTACCTAACACAGCAAAGGAGAATACTGAAAAAACATATTCAAATTCAAGTACAAAAGAAGAGACAGTAAAAGATAGTGCACACTCAGAAGTTACACCCACAGACTTTGCATCCACAATAATTCTTAACAGGAGCCAGAGTAATGAGAACAGTAAGTACTTAGCCCAAACTAGTGGTATTTTTTTTCCAATTTTCTTGCTAGCATGATATCTACAATTGAGAAACCGTCAGGAGTTTACTGGGGGCATGATCCCTGCTTGCGATTTGAGCCTCTTTCTTAGTGACTTTTGTTGAATATCATTGAATTATTTGTACAAGGGAAAAGTCTAAAATGAAGAGTACATAGGGGATGTATTCTTCTCTTGAAACTCATGATTAGTTTTGATTGTGCTCATTTATCAGTCATATGTTTGCTTTATTGGATGTAAAGATTCTTGATTAAAGATTTAGTTGTAAGAAAAAAAATCTGACTGGTATCCCATAGAAAAAGAAAAAGAAAAAAGAAAAAAGAGCAAGATTTAATAGAAGATTAATTGAACTTGTAAAGTTTGAGGGCGATTAATTGAACTTGAAAGTTTGAGGGCGGCGTGAGATGACATTGTTACTTCTTTTTCCTTTTGTTTCGAATCTTATGAAATTGGACAAAAAGTTGTTGGAAGTTTTTACTGTTAAAACCATATGGATTATGGCGTCATAGAATAATATTTCCTTGCTAAGGTCTATGTTTTCCTCATTAAATGAAAATTTAATTGTTATTAAATCGGTTAGTGGGGCATATTATGCATTTAAGTTTGATTGATAAAACTAATTCAAATGAAATTTATATTGGATTAATTAGCATTATATAGGTATAGTAAATGAAATTTATTAGATATTGATTTTCTTATTGTCAACTTAATATTTGATTAGTAAGTCTACTAATATCAATTAAACTCATTTGTAAAATGGTCAGATGGATAAGGAAGATCGTGTATTGCTCTGTCCTTTTGTTATACTAACAAATAGTTTCTTGTTTACTAATAGAAATAATTTCGTTTAGATTCACAATGCTCATGCCGTAGACATTCTGAGTTCTCACCAAAAGAATGTCATTAACCATCTTACAAATAATTGGCCCCGTTCCTGCATATAGTAGAATTAGAGTTATAGCTCATACTAGTTGGTTTTGATTCGAGGTTGTTTATTCCTTGAACTCTTCAGCCTGTAGCTATGGAAATGGTGGATGGGTCCCTGATGATAGTCGACCGCTATACTCTGGTTTTGGGTGTAAGCGATGGTTATCCGCTATGTGGGCATGTAGACTGACCCAGAGGACAGATTTTTCTTATGAGAGATATCGTTGGGTTCCCAAAGATTGTGCGTTGCCAGCATTCGAGCGGTCTGCATTCCTTGGAAGGTACTTGACTTCCCTCTTGATTTGTGCATATGTTAAATTCGGGATGATAGTTGTCAAACAAAAAGAACTTGAAACATCTAAAGTAGTTTATACATAATTGTCTTGTTTTATTTAGTTAACAGGTTTTAAAATATGCAATCAAACAAGTTCCACCCTTGCCATGAATTCTGAAATATTGTATAGTTATCTTAGGGTCCAGATAGTACAATGTCAACTTGTCTGCTATTCTTAATGTTCTTTTAAGTGACCATGTCAACTTGTCTGCTATTCTTAATGTTCTTTTAAGTGACCTTAGTATGTTCTTTTCAGAATGCAGGACAAAACCATTGCATTCATTGGCGATTCATTAGGAAGGCAGCAGTTTCAGTCTTTGATGTGTATGGTCACTGGTGGGGAAGAGAGTCCTGATGTTAAAGACGTGGGAAAGGAATATGGTCTTGTCAAAGCTAAGGGTGCTATTCGTCCAGATGGCTGGGCTTATTGTTTCCCGAGCACCAATACTACTATTTTATACTATTGGTCATCAAGCCTCAGCGATTTATTGCCTTTGAACATCTCAGACCCAACCACTGATGTAGCCATGCATCTTGATCGTCCTCCAGCATTTCTGAGAAAGTTCCTCCATCGGTTTGATGTGCTGGTTCTTAATACAGGACATCACTGGAACAGAGGAAAAATTAGACAAAATAGATGGGTAATGTACAAAGATGGAACTCGTAGTGAACTCGGGAACTTGAAAGAAATTGGCATAGCTAAAAATTTTACTGTGCATAGTATCGTCAAATGGCTTGATTCACAACTTCCCTCTCATCCTCGACTCAAGGCTTTTTTCAGGACCATATCTCCTCGCCATTTTCGTAATGGGGAATGGAATACTGGTGGTAACTGTGACAATACCACACCGTTAACTAGAGGAAGCAAAGTTGAACAGAATGAATCAAGTGATGCAATGGTTGAGAGTGCAGTAAGAGGTACAAAGGTAAAGATGTTAGATATAACTGCTCTTTCTCAGTTGAGGGACGAGGCTCATAAATCCCATTTCAGTATTAAAGGAACCTCGGGCGGTAGTGATTGCTTGCATTGGTGTCTACCTGGTATTCCGGATACGTGGAACGAGATTCTTATTGCACAAATATAGTTCCTTTAGTCTTAAAAGTTCACCTTTTGGACATTCAAATTTGCTCCCCTATCTTTCCAACTTGCATTTTGCAACCTCTACTTTTGGTGATTGGTTCAGAGGAAGATGAGCATTGGAATGGGGCATTCAGTGTTAGTAGTGAGAAGTGATGGCACTGTCGTTCTTGATATTTGGTCATATTAAACAATTGTAAAATCAAGGGTTTTATACCAATTAATGATTTCATTAACGAATAAATGATTTTTTTTGTGCAGATCTTTGTATGATGCACATCTATGAATCACGTTCTATGTGGGGATAGGATCGTTTCCTCCTATTTACGACTATATCCAAGAACGGTATCGAGACACCCTCCTCTCTATAAATATCTAACTTGATTAATTACGAAAAATGCATAGAGTTTTGTTCTTGAGATGTCTATTGTTCACTCTTATCTATATCTATCTATTCATATACATAATTGAATGATAAAACAAAAGTTATTATTATTACTTATATATTTTTTGTTTAGTTGATAATCGATAAATATTTCTTTAATTTGTTTTTTTTTTAGTAATAATTGTATAAGTTGGATTTGTTATGTTTATGGAATGAAATTGGTATTTGTGAGATACACTAGAAAATAAGATCTCACGAGACAAATCATTTTTATAAGGGTGTGGAAACCTCTCTCTAATGGACATGTTTTAAAATCGTGAGGCTGATGACGATATGTAACGGGTCCAAGCAAACAATATCTGTTAGAGTTAGATTTGAGCTGTTTCGATCACTTAACGACTATTATCGAGTAAACTCAATGTAACAAAAGAGAGAAGAAAAAAGTTGTAAATAGAGATGAGAGCTTTTATTTTATTGTTCGATTATAGATATGGATTGATAGGTAAAGGAGAGTGCAACATAGACATGGATTCATCAATCGAAAATCTCTTCAAAAGCTGAGAGATCGAGGAAATTCTCCCATGATTTCTCCCACACCTTACACCCATATTTTTTCGGGTTATTTGGGCCATCATCAACCAACAACTCAAGGTAGTACATAAACCCCTCCACCACCTGTATCCACCCACGTAACACCGAAAGGAAGATCAGTGATTTCCCAGATCTTCTGTTGTATTCTTTCACTGCCCATTGTCCAATAAACACCACGTGTGGGTCCTTTGGATCGATTTCTTTCAAACCTCCTGGGTTTACATATTTTTTGAGGCTAGAGGAACTCATCTCAACTTTTGCGTAGATACCTAACAAATCAACTTTGATATGGTTTGCTCACTTTCACACAGAGCTTGGTATTTATAGACAAGATCGTAAGGAGTTTCGATCGTTTGTAGACATAATTATAGATAATGGTAAACGATCTTATCTACATATGGAATGTGATTTGTAGGCTGTTTAAGAAAGTGAGCAATGCCGGTGTGTTAAAGCTTCATATTCATTTAATTAAATACTTTGGTAATATTATCAATCTACTTAGTATTATATAACAAAACTAAACCATTAACAAAAATGTAAAGATAATTATTCTTTGTTTAATATGGTATTGGTTTGATGTCAAAAATAAATAAATAAATAAATATATATATATATATATAAATAAATAAATAAATAAATAAATATATATATATATATATATATATATATATATATAAATAAATAAATAAATAAATAAATATATATATATATATATATATATATATATATATATATATATATATATATAAACCGAGTATTCAATAGCTCCCTAAAGTGAAATTTAGGAACGGGATAAAAATAATGTACTTATTAATTAAAAAATACGGAATAATGCAAAAATTTTCTAACTCTTTATTCCATGTCATCCACGCTAAAAGACAAGAAGGATGATTATTTAAATTTTTAATGAATATTCCTCGAGCCGTCAATTGTACATTGGTTCCTTGCCTAAAAAATTCGAGAAATTCCTCCAATGTTAAGGTGGAAAAATGGATACACATACAACATAGAATTATATTTATAGTACTTATTTACATACAGTACATAAATACACGGGGGCCCACTGGACGGGTTCGTTAATATACCCCTTATGCATGTGTAACCAAGTTCTATATCAGATTTTATCAACTAATGAATAAAATTTGTCAGGGTGTTTTTTGAATTAGCGTTGTGTTTTTTGAACGGATTTAACCTATTTAGTCTTGGTGTTGTTTGTATATTTTTATTTCCATTTAATTTTATGGATTTTCATATATATTTATTTTTATTTAATTACGTGCAAGGTTGGTTGTGCACAAGAAGGCTATCATTCCACTTCATCAAATAGTTCAACGTTTAAGTCCTCTTTGGTTTAGTTCTTCACTGGTTTGGGTAGGCTCGACTGTTTTCCACCGACTCGAGTGGTTCAGTGGATTTTTCGATCCATGCTCGATTCTACTGTTTTTGAGTAAGACTTATATAGGTTGGATTCGTTATATTTATGCAAATTTGCGAGACATATTTTTGATATCTTCATTTGGAAGAGCTCAATCCCACTGCTAGCAGATATTATCCTCTCTAGACTTGCCCTTCAAGAACTTCCCTCAAGATTTTAAAACACGTCTATTATGGAGAGATTTCCACACCCTTATAATCAATGTTTTGTTCCCATCTCCAACCAATGTGGGGTCTCACAATCCACTCCTTTGAGGGCCAGCGTCTTTACTAACACACGATCCAATGTCTGGCTCTAATACCATTGTAACAACCCAAGCCCCACCGATATTGTCTTGGGCTTTCCCTTGAAGGGCATCTTCACGAAGTTTTAAAACACATCTACTATGGAGAGGTTTCCACACCTTATAATAAATGCTTTGTTCTACCGATGTGGGATCTCACAATCCATCCCCCTTGAAAGTCAGCGTCCTTGTTGACACACGATTCAGTGTATTGACTCTAATACCATTTGTAACAACCTAAGCCCCACTGATATTGAAGGGCATCCCCTCGAGGTCTTAAAACACGTCTACTATGGAGAGTTTCCACACTCTTATATAGAATATTTCGTTTCCTTCTCCAACCGATAAAAGATTTCACACCATTAACGAAGAAAATAAGTAATTTAAGTAAAAGCAAACCGTACAAAAAGAAGAAACAAAAAAGTTGTAAGTAAAGATAAGAGCTTTTATTTTGTTTTATTTCAGTGTTCCATTATAGACATGGATCGATACGTAAAGGAGAGTGCAACATAGACATGGATTCATCAATCGTAAATCTCTTCAAAAGCTAAGAGATCTAAGAAATTCTCCCATGATTTCTCCCACACCTTGCACCCGTATTTTTTCGGGTTATTTGGGCCATCATCAACCAACAGCTCAAGGTAGTACATAAACCCCTCCACCACCTGTATCCACCCACGTACAACCGAAAGGAAGATCAGTGATTTCCCAGATCTTCTGTTGTATTCTTTCACTGCCCATTGTCCAATAAACACCACGTGTGGGTCCTTTGGATCGATCTCTTTCAAACCTCCTGGGTTTACATATTTTTCGAGGCTAGAGGAACTCATCTCAACTTTTGCGTAGATACCTAACGAACGAACTTTGATATGGTTTGCTCATTTTCAAACAAGAGCTTGGCATTTATAGACACGATCGTAAGGTGTTTCCTTCGATCGTTTGTGGATATAATCGTTGATAATGGTAAACGATCCTATCCGTATATGGAATGTGATTCGTAAATTGTTTAAGAAGGTGAGCAATGCCGGTGTGTTAAGCTTCATATTCATTTAATTAAATACTTTGGTAATATTATCACTCTACTTAGTATTATATAATAAAATTAAGCAACTAATAAAAAATGTAAAGATAGTTATTCTATGTTGAATGTTGAATATGTATTGATTCTCTTAAAATTGGATATTTTTAATTCTCGGTTGGATAACGATCTTGTTTTTAATTCTAAATTATCAAATGTGATTTCGCCCGGTTCATAAATTTTGTCATTTGTTACGGTTATAAAGAAATACTTCTAAGTTCTTTGTTGATGAGTTTAAAATGAAATCACAATCCACCCCCTTCTGGCCAACGTCCTCACTAGCACTGCCACCAAATCCATCTTCTTTGGAGCCTAGCGTCCTTACTAGCACACCGTCTCGTGTCTATCCCCCGAACAACAAGAAGGTTGACACATTGTCCAATGTCTAGCTATGATATCATTTGTAATGGTCAAGATTTACCGCTAGCAGATACTCTTTGGGCTCTCCTTTTCAGGCTTCCCTCGAGGCTTTAAAATGCGTCTGAAAGGGGAAGGTTTCCACACCCTTATAAATGGTTTTTGTTCTCCTCTCCGACCAATGTCGGACATCAAAATAATGGTTAGAGAGGGGAATGAAGTATTCTTTAGAAGGGTGTGAAAACCTCTCTCCAGTAGATGCGTTCTAAAACTATGAAGTTGACGGCGACACGTAACGAGCTAAAACAGACAATATCTACTATTAGTGGGCTTGGGTTATTACAAATTGTATTAGAATCAGACACCAAACGGTGTGCCAACGAGGACGATGGCCACCAAAGGGTGGATTGTGAGATCTCACATTGGCTTGGAGACGAAAACGAAACATTATTTACAAGGGGACATGTTTTAAAGCTACGAGACTTGATGGGTACCTAACGAGTCAAAGTAGACAAAATTTACTAGCGATGTACTTGAATTGTTACATGATTCCTCGCCGTTCATAAGTTGTCTTTCATAACGTTACAAAGAAATAGTTCGAAATTGATGAAATAAATATTAACTATGGAGTTGGACTACAAAAGTTGTTTAATTTGTTTTTAAATTATATATTTGAGAGTTTTAAAAATATTTGAAAAAATATAAATTTTGTTAATTATCGTTTTTAATTTTAGATTCTTAAACATTATTCCTATTTATTCATAATTTTTTTCTTTCATAACATTTTCAATCAAATACTTTTAAATTCTTAATTAAATTTAAATAAAACAAAATTTTCACGCCTTATAATAATAATAATAAAAAAAGAACCTATCAATTTATATCAAATTATTAACATTTTAATTAAATTAAGAAACTAAATTAATTTAGGAATACATTTTTATTTTAAAAAACATCTAAAAATATACAATTTGTAAAAAAAAAAAAAAAAAAAAAAAAAAAAAAAAAACGAAAAATTAAACAAAATAAATATATATAAATTATTTACCAAACATGTCGAGCATAAACAACCTTAAAGTGAAATTTAGAAACACGATAAAAAAAATAATGTACTGAGAAATGACTCAAATATTAAGGTGGAAAAATGGATACACATGCAACATGTATCACGACAAATGAAGACTTAATTCATCATTTTTTTTTGTAGGGGTGTACATGGTAAGGGTTGGGTTGGGTTGAAGGATTTTTTTTTTACTCAACCAAAAAATTTGAGTTGGTTAGATTGGTAACCCAACCCAACTCGAAAATTTTCATAACCTAACCCAACCCAACCCAACCGGTTAGGTTCGGGTCGTTAAAAAAAATTATTTTTTTAAAAAAAGTTTTATTTATCCACAATTTATAATTATTCGGATACTCTCTTAAATAAAAGATAATTAAAAATTCACAAACAAACACAAATTAATCTATAATTGTTCACATCAAAAAAGGAATTCAATCCAGAATAACGAGCAAAAATGGTAACATATTAACATAGTTCAATATTGTTATAGAACTAAAAACAACTCAAATATAGATATATGTTCAGAATTAATTAAAATAAAAAAAATATACAAGAATAGATGATAAAATTAAAAAAACAATAAAAAAGATTAGTTTAAAAATACTATTATAACAGAAAAAAATATTATAATTGAAATAGATAACCCTAAACTATTAGAAAAAAAAAAAGAAAAAATACATATATAAATGGTAATATAATAATATTGCAACAAATAGATAATAAATATATTGGAATTTACACTTATCTCAATTTTATAACAAACTAAATTTTTATCGATTGTGTCACTATTTTAGGTGTTAAAAATTTCTCTTACTCGTACTACACGTTGATTCAGAAGCTATAGTAAACATTAAAACGGTCCAAATATTTTAGACAACTTTTGAGAAAGCTTGGTATTTAAATTTATTTACTTTCCACCCTATCCAATGAGACAGATGATAGATGGAAAATAAAAATTATTCAAATATAGGTATAATCTATGAACATTAAACATTATACGTATTTGTTTCAAAATAACTTTGTATAAATTATAATTAATAAACTTATCCTAAATTATATTCTTCAATTAAATGATTGTGGTTAGAAACGATTAGAATAGCTACATGTTTATTTATTCATATTATAAATAATATATTTTAAAAAAATATGAAATATTAAGTTATTTAAAAAATATTTATATAAGAAACTAAAAATGGTTACAATAGTTATAGGTTAATTTATTCCTATTATAAAGAACGTATTTTAAAATATTATGAAATATTAAAGTATTTTCAAAATATTTATATAAGAAAATAAAAAATAAAATAATAAAAAGAATTAATATATTTAATTGAGGTCAAACTGAGGGGTGAGTGTTTTAAATTTGAACGAAGTACCGTCATTAATATAAATTTCTTAGTATATTTTATATATTTTTATTTAGCTTAGGTCATCCCGAGGGTTTTGTCTCATGAACCTGAAATCGAATCGAGTCGGTTCGAATTCAGAAAAATGAACTCAAACCAACCCGAAAAACTAATCCAATCCAACCCAACCATTATAGTTCGGGTTGGGTTGGTCCAAGTTGTCGGGTTGAATGTACGCCTCTAATTTTTTGGGTTCTACTTTATTTATTTATTTTTGCATTAGATTATATTTATAGTACTAATTTACATACGGTGCACAAATACACATGGGTCCACTGGACGAGTGGGATAATGTAGCCCTTATAACTGTGTAACCAAATTTTATATTCACGCCAATGCACACATTTGTCGGTGGTACCTATAGTGGCCGATAACTTTCTTGATTTTGATTACTATTATTTTTTTTTTAAATAATATAGACATTACAAAGTACTTCAAAATATTTTTTAATCCTTGAACTCTTTTTAAACATTTGGGTTCATGACTAAAAGATATGCGTTCATACTAATCATAACGAGAATATGACAAACATGGTTTCAAATCATATAACATGCAAATCATACCTTCGTTTTTTTATAAGCATTTTCATAAATACATTCTTGGTATATAAACAATTCACAATCTCGAAAACAATCATGCTAACATGGTGTCTATGGACACCATAAGTCATAATACATCATCACGTAGTACGGCATTACATAACATAGCATAAAATAATTCATGTGACAAACTACCGTACATGGAGAGGTCAATAGTAGAGCAACAATCATAATTTAGAATTCTACCATGAAAATTGACTTTAACCTTAAATGCCTCAAAGTGTTGAAAGGGTTCAAGCGTATCAGATTCAAGCTTAGATCAACAGAGAAGCCGATCTGGAGTCGTTAGAAAATGTATTCTCTAACTAGCTTCGAACCACTCAAATGGAATGAAAAGAAATAATTATTATATCTTAGTAAGCTAAGCACTACGAACACAATTTTTTTTTTTTTTGGTGGGAAACACTCACCCTTTTATTAAAATCAAGAGAGAACAATTATTTTTTAACAAAAGTTTAAGAATTAGATTCCTCGATTGTTAGAGTCTTATAAATAAACGTGCGACTCCTAAGTACTCTGTGGAGAAAAAACTAGTTTCTTAATTCTAAACATGGATGGAGTCCATATTCTCAAGCCGCTTATGCATCTTATGAGTGATATTCGGAGTGTTCAATAAACTCGAGAACTCGAAAAAAATCTAATCAACCTCATTAGACCAATATCATTCGGGTTTTGAATTATGAACTTATTTAGATTGGATTAGATTAAAATAAATAAAAATTTAATGGAAGTTTTCACGAGAATAGAGATTAAATAGAATGTGATGATAAGAAAAACAAAACTATATACGTAAAGATTGATAAGAAGTTTTATTTTATTGTCCATTATAGATATGGATTCTGATACACGAAGGAGATTGTAACATAGACATCACTCCTGGAGAAGAATGTGAAAAGACTCGAGCTTCCGAGGAGGCTCCTCCCATGGTTGCTCCAACACCTTAGCCTCATATTTTCGATGATGATTTGCACCAACATCAACCAACAACACAAGCTTGTACAACACTCCAGACACTATTTGCTTCGACCCACTTACCACTTCAAGAAACTTTAGTGAATCCCCACTTTGTTTGTTGTGTTCCTTCACTGCCCATTCTCCAATATCTCGCACGTGTGGGTCATTTGGATCAACCGGCACTGGACCTCCAGGAACAGAACTCATCGTCACTTAGAAAAATTAGTCGACAAGCTTTGAAATTGTATGCTCACTTTCAAACAAGAGTTTGATATTTATAGAGAGAAAGGTGTTTCCCTCTATCGTTAGTGGATATAATCGTAGATTAAAAAAAAACGATCCTATCTACATAAAGAATGTGATCGGTAGATATCCTTCGAGAAAAGCATGTTTTAATTATTATATTCATTAAGAAAAAAAAAACACTTGAATTATGTTGTTCAACACTTTAATATTCGTATCTTATATCATTCCACTTAAATCAATAACAAAATTAAACAATTCGATGATGTTTAGATTATGTGTGGTTGCTGATTTGACCTTTAATTTTCTCTTATCTAAACAACTTAAAAGATATTATTCTTTGTTGCATTTGATATATCAAACGTCATACGATAACGATATTGTTTTCAATTCTAAATTTTGATTGTAGCTCAATCGTTCACGATTTGTTTATAATTACAACTTGGTTAAAAATCTGTTTCACTCGAGAATTTTAAGAAATCCATGACTAGTCCAACCAAACAAAATTGGAATGGTTGTATCTCGCGTCGACAAGCTACAAGCATTCGTTCATTCCTTCATTTGAACCTTGCGTCTTAGGGCTTGATTGCTCAAAATTTCTTTTACAAACTTATAGATTTCATTAAAACGAGAATGGACAAAATTCATTTAGAGTTGAGGAAGAAATTGGTTGAGGAAGATTTTAAAAGTTACAAGAAAAACTTAACGATGGAGTCGGATCTCAATCTCCTTGATCAATCTTACATTAGGTGCTTTCTTCTCTCTCTCGTGCCAACTCACACAATTGTGGGCGGTACCTATGATGGCCGACGGTTTTCTTGATTTTATTAGTATTATTATATATTTTTTTTAATAATATGGACATTACAAAATACTTTAAAATATTTTTTAATGCTTATACTCTTTGGGCCCATGACGTAAGTTATGCATCCATACTAATTATAATGGAGAAGTATTTCGATGCATATGACGCATAAAAATGCGTGAGGTCTCCATAGCTTCAAATCATATAGCATGCGAATCATACATTTGTTCTTTCTTAAACATTTTTACGAATACATCCTTGGCATATCAACAATTCACAATCTCGAAAACAATCTTGCTAACATGGTGTGCATGTCATATCATAGCTTAATATAAGTCATAATACATCATAAAGTGGTATGACATAACATAATTCATGTGATAAAATACGGTACATTGAGGGGTCACAGAGAACGTTTGGTTCATATCATTCCATTCATCCAACCATGTCAAGAGTAGAGCAACAATCCTATTTTAAAATTCTACTGTGAAAATTAACTTTAACCTTAAATGTCTCTGAACAGTTGAAAAATTCTAAGCTTATTAGACCCAAACTAAATCAGTGGAGAAGTTGACTAAGAGCGGTTAGAAAATGTATTCTCCAATTGGCACCAAATCATCCTATTAAAATGAGAATGAGCAATTGTTGTACCTTAAGTAAGTTGAGTCTTCACTTTCTCACACCAATAGATGTGACAACTTTTATTTTATTTGTTTTTTTCGGGTGTTTTTATTTTGTCTATTAATACCCTTCAATTTTTTTTTAAGGAGTTCAAAAATATTTTTGCAATAAATACTCACAAAATTTTAAAAGTAGTATTGATTTCCTTTACTTCTATAAAAAAAAAAAAAGTTAAAAAATTTTATACCGTCAATATATGGATAAAAACCAACACTGAGAATGTTTACATAGTCCACCACACATAAATGGTGTGAAAGTTATCTATTTATAATCAAATAAATTACAATGAAATGAAAAGAGTAATAAATGGAAAGATACCTATGGTAAGGATCTTATAATAAAATAACAAATATGATATATATGGTAAAGTATAATTTAGTACTAAATATCCTTAACACCCCCTGCAAGCTGAGAGTCGGTTTTGAACGAATGTGAAGCTTGGATCTAAAAAATTGAAAGAGACGAGAAATACTTTTCGTGAAGACGTCAATTGTTGAAAAAAAACTGTTAAGAATGAGAAATAGAAATAGATCGAAGGTGTATAGTCTCGTGATATTCATAAGCTTAATAGAATATAAATTAGTAACTAATGCGTACAAATGAGGAAAATATAAAATAATTAAATATTGAGAATAAAATAAAATATACTGTAAATCAAATCATAAATAAAGAATATTAAGATTTAATATCTAGGATATATTTCATAAATAATATATATTCTAAATATTATATCTCAACACTCCCCCTCAAGTTGGAGAGTGCAGGTCAATCACACCCAATTTGTTTTTCAAAAAATCAAATTGATGTCTTCTCAAAGCTTTAGTGAAAATATCTGTCAATTGCATTTTAGTCGAAACATAATACGGTTTGATGATTCCAGCTTGTAATTTTTCTCGAACTATACGATAATCTATTTCAATGTGTTTTGTACGTTCGTGAAAAACTGGATTGGTTGCTATGTGTAATGCTGCTTGATTATCACAGTACAATAATGTTGGTTCGGACAGTGGAACTTTCAAATGGAGAATGTATCTTAACCAAGTTAACTCTAAACAAGTATTTGCCATAGCTCGATACTCGGCTTCTGCTGATGGATGATCTGGACACATTGGTTTGTTTTTTAGACTTTCAAGAAATAATTGAATTTCCAAGGAAAATGCAGAACCAAGAAATAGACCATCTGGAAGTTCGACAACCACCCCAGTCTGAATCGCAATATGCTTGTAATCTCAAGTTATTTTTAGATGGTAGTAGAAGCTCTTGATTAGGAGTACCTTTGATGTATCTCAGAACTCGAAGAGCTGCCTCCCAATGTGATTTTCTTGGTTCATGCATAAATTGACTAAGCATACGAATTGAATACACTATGTCAGGCCTAGTAACAGTTAAATATATTAATCAGCCAACCAACCATCTGTATTTACTTGGATCATTCGACTTTTCTCCTTCTGTTGAAGAAAGTTTCAGATTTTGCTCCATAGAAAATTTTTCTGGATGTGTTCTTGTAAGACCTGTGTCTTGAAAAATGTCTAGAGCATCCTTCCTTTGAGACATAAAGATTCATTTTCTAGACCTAGAAAATTCAATACCCAGGAAATATTTCAAATTCCGATCTTTGATTAGGAATTTTTTGAGTAAACTAGTCTTGAGATGTTGAATTTCTTTGAGATCATTGCCTGTCAACGGAATATCATCAACATAGATAAGAGCTGCAGTGAAAGAAGTACCTTTACTCTCAGTAAACAAAAAGTAATCTGCTTTGGACTAAGTGTAGCCTGCATTTTGTATAGTGGTAGAGAATATAGAAAACCAATTGCGAGAAGTCTATTTTAAACCATAAGGAGATTTATGGTGCCAACATACTGTATTCTCACCCTATCAGCGAATACCTGGTGGTAAAGACATATAAACTTCCTCGTCTAGATTACCATGGAGAAAGGCATTTTGAACATCCAATTGATGAGTGAACCATTTTCGAGCAACGACAATAGTGAGTAAGTAACGAAGTGTAGTAAGTTTCGTTGTAGGAGAAAATGTCTCTTTGTAATCAACACCTTCAACCTGAGTGTATCCCTTTGCTACCCGTCGAGCTTTGTAATGTTCAACAGAACCATCAGAGTTGTGTTTAATCTTGTACACCCAACACCAACCAATAGCTTTATGGCTAGGTGGTAGAGGAACGAGAGACCAAGTATGATTATGTTCCAAAGCTACAATTTCATCATTCATAGCCTGCTGCCATAATGGGTTGCCAACTGCCTCATTATAGGTTTTAGGTTTTGTCTAGGCTGTAATAAGAGCTAGAAAAGCACATTTAGTAGAAGAAAAATGAGAGAATGAAAGGTAATGATGAAGGGGATACTTGGTGCCAGAGTTGGGACTTGAGCTAGAGTTAAATGATTGGCTCCAGAAGACATCTCATTATCATTATAATAAGCTGGAGGTCGTTTGGTAGAAGTAGAACGTCGAAGTGGAACTGATGTATCAAGTGGGATAAGATTAGATTTAGTGGGTGAATCTGGAACTTATGAATTTGGAGAAGGAATAGAAGGCGGAGGAGACGACGAAGGAATAGAAGGATTAGAATGGATGTTTGGGTAGGATGGATCATGAAATGGTAAAACGGGAGTTGAAGGAGCTAATGTCAAAGTTTGTGAAGTTGATGAAAACGGAAAATCATCGTCACAAAATTTAACATCACGACTGATAAAGAATTTTTTAGATTGCATGTCATACAACTTGTAACTTTTGTGACCACAAGGATATCCTATGAAAACACAAGGAATTGCCCGAGGTTCAAATTTTTGCTTAGGATGTACTACAGTTGCATAACACTTGTAACAAAAAACTTTAAGATGGTGAAATGTAGGTGGTCGTTTGTAGAGTGCTTCAAAGGGTGTTTTGTTAGATAACAATGGTGATGTGTTCTATTTATAAGATAAACAGCCGTTAAAATGCATTCTCCCCAAAAATTAAGTTGAACCTGTGACAGAAAAAGAAGAGGCCTAGCTACATTTAGGATATGACGATGCTTACGTTCTACGACTCCATTTTGTTGTGGAGTATAGACACAAGTGCGCTGAAATTCAATGCCACGAGAAGTAAAAAATGGTTGCAAAGATAGGAACTCATTCCCATTGTCTGACCTAACTATCTTGATAGTTGCATGAAATTGAGTTTGAACGAATTTAACAAAGTTTACTAACAAATGGTGTACTTCTGATTTGTGTTGCATAAGAAAAACTCAAGTACATTGAGTAAAATCATCAACAACAGTGAGAAAAAAACCGCAAACCAGAATGGGTTGGAATTTTATGTGGTCCTCAAACATCACAATGTAGCATATCATAGGGAGAATGGGTTGTTATTGAATTTTTGAAAAGACAACCTAGTTTGTTTTGCTAATGAGCAAATACTACAATCATGAGAAAGAGTAACATTATTAAGATGCAATTGATGAGCTAGAAATTTAAAACGAGAAGAAGAAGAATGACCTAGGCGTAAATGCCA